TTAGTAATTACTGTCAACCATTAGGTGACAGTTCAGTAGCTGTCATTTAAATATATTAAGGCTGACATGCCAGTTTAGAACTTCCCTTCCTGCAGCTGTGAGTGTTTTCATCATCTGCGTTTCAACCAGAAAGAGTCTGGGGCTCCCTCCTCTTGCTCAAGAAATCAGATCTTTCTTGGACATCACCAGGTGTCCCTACTGAGTGCACATTAATAAAAAACCAAACCTGCTCAGGAGCTCAGCTAGTTCCTGAGCTGGTTACTCCCCTGGAAGGAAGAAATACACTTTCCCAAAGAACTGTGCAACACAAAGCTTGAGGATTCATCTTTCATGCATGAACTACACAAGCCATGGGAATGTGACTGAAGTGTTACACCATCACATAACTGTGATTAATGCATGTTGCATCACTGATTGTCATCTGGGGCAGGTTTGGGCCTGGGACCACACACATTTGAGTGTGTCTTCTGCTCACCTCTCACTCTCTGGAGACACACAGAGTTAGCAATATCATGTGAAATAAAGAACAATATTGTATGAAGGCAAAACACTCTTGCAGCAAGCATGCCCTGGGGAGATGTCATCTTGGGGTTGGGCTGGACCACCAAGGAGGTAGGGACTGCTACTCCTCCAGGCCTGGCTGCTCTCAGACACACCATGGGATTTACAGCAAAGGAACACATGGAGAACAAGTATAAACCTTCACCTAAGAAGTCCTTATGCATTGCAATTTTGTCTGTGCTGTTGTCATACTTAATATGTATATAGTCACACCAGCTCAGCCTTTCCACTTAGAAGCCACCAGGCAGCCTCTAATAGGCATATAATTAAGGTAGTTATATTGGTTTCATGTCTTGTGAAGGTTTAAGATGAAACTGAGTCACCCTCTATGTTTTGTGGTTCCCTTCTGCTGGAGGCTGTTCCCTGGTGTCACACACGTGATGCTGCTGTCCCCAGGGACCTGCACACAACAGATCTGGCAAGACCCATCACAAGGACTTGCTGGACCATGGGATGCAGCTCCAGCCCCAGGCTCTGCTCCGTAGCCAGTGACCACATGCTGCTAAGTTTCCTGAAGTTCACTACGTGGTTCTGACCCAGGGGACCAGTAAAGCAAGTGGTTGGTGTTCAGCCAGCACTGAGCCTGCTCAGGCCTCAGTCCCAGGCCCTGCTCCACCTGCTCATCCTGCAGCCTCCAGTCTGTCTGCTTTCTCTGCCACAGGCTCCCAAAAAGCTGCAAAACCACAGCTGAATTATTTCCTCTACCTATACATGAAAACTTGGGCTTAGAACTGGAGGTTGGTGTTGTGTCAGATATCTCAGCCCAGAGGAGCTACCATGTATAGAAGCTTTGTGATGGAAGCCCTAAGCAGAAAACCTCAGGACAGCCACAAGGCTTTGTATCCCCAAACCCCAAGAGCAGCAAAATCCATCTGGCACAAAGGAGGGAATTCTGCCCAACCACAAAGAACCTCCTCTTGCCATCCCTCACAGCATCCACACCCAGAGCTTTGCTCTCCCAGACCTGGGGACATAGCAGAGAATAAGCATCCCCCTGCCCACTGCCTTGGGTGGAAAGCAAGGAGATATGGGCACCCTCTAATGAAGGAAAACATGAGAATGACACTCCAGTGATGACAGAAAACACCTCTTGCTGTACAGAGTTTGAATGCACAAAGGAAAAACCCAGGTTACTCCAAATAGCCACACACAATTTTTGATATAAAATGAGCTAAACCATTTCAGAGTACCTTTTTTTGGACAAGCTTTAAAGACTTTTAAATAAATATCCATTCACAGTCATCTCTAAAATTCACCACAGGTAGTAAAAATTGAAATGGGCACCTGAGCTCTGCCCCCTGCTAGAAGGAGAGCCTTAAACAAAAAAGGCTGCATGTGATTTGTTTTATAATTCAAAAGAGGAGGAGAGATGTAGAAAACTGTACCCTCAAAATTGTGGTTATAAAGTTCAAGTTAATGTGCAACCAATGCTTGTGGGGTTCTCAAAGGATTAGGAACTGACCTCATGATGAGAGGACAGAAAGGGACTTAGCTAGGGAGCATTAATGCTCCTTCTGTGACCCTGCATGGAGTAAGTGAAGAGCAATTCTAATGCCCAGGGCCATGCCAGCATCTCACCCTGCACCAGTAGCTGGTCTGTCCTTCCAGCCTCCCCACACTGGTGGAGGGTCTGGAGCACAAGTCTTGTCTAGGAGGAGTGGCTGAGGGAACAAGGGGTTTTCATCCTGGAGAAAAGGAAGCTGAGGAGAGACTTTCTCACCCTACAATTCCCTGAATGGAGACTGGAGTGAGGGAGGGTTGGTCTCTTCTCCCAAGGAACATGTGATAGAACAAGAGAAAATGGCCTCAAATTGTGCCAGGTGAGGTTTAGATTGGTAATTAGGTACAACTTCTTCCCCAAAAGGGTTGCCAGGCCCTGGCCCAGGCTGCCCAGGGCAGGGCTGGAGTCCCCATCCCTGGGGGGATTTCAAAGCTGTGGAGCTGTGGTGCTGAGGGACATGAGGCAGTGGTGGCCTTGGCAGGGCTGGGGGAAGGGTTAGACCTGATGTTCTTAAAAGTCTTTTCCAACTAAAAGAATTCTACAATGCTATGATTTCATTGCCTCCAGCACTCTGCTGTCCCTGAGAGCCACGTAGCCTCACAGTTAAATTCTGTGCACCAGCTCAGTGCAGATGAGCACTAACAGCACAGTGTGCCTCATCTGCACAGACACAGCACCAAAACCTCTGCCAGGTAGCAAAGATGATTCAAGAGCAATCAGTTCATTCTCAATATCTTCATGCAACCAACAAAAAGCCAACAGGTATTTAACACCAGCTTCCTTTAAGTGTAAGCTTTGTGGACCATCATCCATTGCATTTTCACTTTGTTTCTATCTTGCCCCCTTTGGGTGCACACAAGAGAATCTCTCTGTGTAGGAAGCACCTCAGCACAGCAGTGACTGCAGTGGTTATAGGGTAACACTCATATCCACACTGCCCCAAGGCATCCAGCACAAACACTGGTCACTGGCTTGCAGGGCACCAGGAGCAGTTCATGACTATTTATACTTCTCAACACCATTATACCAAAGGCTTTTAAGTAATTAGTTTTCCCTCATTAGCAGATGCACAGCCTGGGGAAGGGTACACGGGTGCTTCCAAGCCCCATCCTGGGTTACAGAGCAGCACTGTCTGGACTTGGAGGCAAAAGCTCAGAAGAGCCAAGCTGGGCTGATGAGGAGGGTAAAACAACCACAATATTTATACAAACGTGTTATTCCCAAGGCAGAACCACAGGGGTTATTTTGGCAGGAAGAGCAACAAAAATATTCACAGGGTGTTACCACAAAGCCCATGCATTTTGATGAAAAAGGGGAACAATATTTATCAACATCACTTCCACGGAGACCTGAACATACTTTACGAGACACCAGGTGTCATAGTGATTTTTTGCTGAAGTTACATCCTATCCTTAAAGAAGCAAAGTTTATACACCTCATGTACCAGAAAGTAATCTACAAACACAATCACCAGGGTGTGAGGAATGCTATTCCACTGCAAGCATATCTCTAATAAAATATGTGGAGTTTCTACCTTCGTCCTGACACATCAAATACATTATTCCATTTTTCTCTTTAACACCTTCAGAATCAAAGCAGACATTGGGTGAAGTCTAATTTCAAGTTATCACTAATGCATTCAAACACATCACTAAAAGCTGCGTGGCTAAAACTGCATTACAGAAAAAAACCCCCACCAAAACCAGGTAAAACTGAAGCTGTTATCTCCTTGAAAAACATGGGCCTCACGCTACGGCACCTACTGATGCGAGTCTATTGAAGCCACCAGGATTAGTTACATGCAGGATTACTCCCATGATTAGGGAGTGCAGGATTACATCCACCCTTTGCATAGCTCCTGTTGTTTACATACCCATCTTTTCACCTCTTGCTTTTCCTTTTTCTTGAAACGCGGGGCACTTAATTACTGTTAGCACTAGATATCATTATGCTGTGCTTTTATCCCTTCACAACTTGGCTGCCTTCTGGATGTCAAATGAAACGCTTTTATGATCAAAACAAAGAAAAGAGAGTAGAAGCAGCAGAATCTGAACCATGCAATTAAAAACAAATGAAGAGAGGGACAGCTCGTTATCTACAATCAAAACTTTTGCAGGATTCCTTTCATATTCATGCTCCTATCCGTGGCCTCTGCTCTTGGGAGCTGGTGATTTACATCATTTTTTTTTAGACTGTGCCAAGTAGAAAGTTACCCAAGAGCTCTGAGGCAATGCTGATGATATCACTCTTGAAAAATACCCCAAACCAGACAAACAACTGAAACAAATACTACAGGCAGGTATAATCATAATACATAACCAAGAAGTGATAAGTCCAGACTCAGTTCATCACTGCTCATTTCTTTACCCGTAAAATAGGTCTCCCTCCTATCCTTGGGAAGACTGAGCAAGTTACCAACGCTTTTCAACTATTTTATGATAAAACAGATTAATTAGTGCATGGCAGGAAGGTTATGCTGTTATGCAGAAGGTTCTCCTTTTCCCAACCCAGTCAGAAACACATTTAGCTGAAGAAACAGCAACAACACCAGTTACAAGAGGGACCCAACATTTCTTCTGAAAAAAATGACACCCACCCTTTCAGATTGTCCAGTTTGACACTGAATTACATCAGTCTCCGTTCGGGACGCAAGATACCGGGCTTGTTTGGTTTGAGCAGGATTTAAACACGTAAACACCAGGAGTTAATGTCAGCAGGCTGGAGCTGAACCTGACACTGTGTGCATATTTTTAACGCTAGAAAATAAAAGCATTGCCTGCCTTTTTCTTTTTTTTTTTCAGGCTTCTTTAAGCCATTTCAGGAGCCAAAGGAATGTGGGTTATTTTTGGAAAGCCTGTTCCGACCCTGCCACGTCCCGCCTGTTGGAAACCGACCTGGCAGGAGCAGCAACAACCAGCCCCAAGTTGCGCCAACTCACCGGAGCGACCCGTTTCCTTCCCAGGGGAGCAGGTCACGGTCAGGAACATCCGAGTGACAAAAGAGCTTGTTTCCCTGCTCCATTTTGCTGGAGGTCTCACCTGGAAAGCCAGGCGGTGGTGGCGGGGGCAGCCCAGCCCCGCAGCTGGTCCTTCTTCTGCGGGAACAGCGGGTCCAGCCGGGACAACCATCACTTGTTGCAATGGGAACAGGGCAAGGCAGGAGCTGCCAGGACATGAATAATTCATTGCCTTCCACCTCCCCTCATTAGCATGCTGCTCAGGCAGCTCCCATCACACCCGTTCATTTTTGTCCTTTGTCTTCAGGAGAAGCCTGCTGGATGAACGAGGGTCATCTGGGATGGCAAAACCCGGGCCTGCTGATTTATTTAGGCTGATTTGGGTAGAATCTGTGGCCCTAAAATGCAGGTTTTTACAGCCAGAATATAAATTCAGCTGTGCATCCTCTACCTGAGGCAGGCTGCTCAGCTCCAGCAACAATATCCAGCTACAGCACATGAATGTTTCATTTTCTGGACTTAAACGTTGAAGCTGGGATCCTTGTTTCTAAGTGGTTCTCCAGGAAACAGGAAATCTCCAAGTGTGCTGCTCACAGGTGGTTCCACCCATCCTGCTGTAATGACCACTTGGACTGCTAAACAACTAACACCTGGCTCCCACTGTGTTTGCCTTCTGAGGAGGAGATATGGAAAAAAAGAACCCAACACCTGCAATGGAAAAAGCTAATCCAGAATCTACTTGGAAAAATATAGTCCTACGTGACAGGGCCAGGGAGGTGATTCTCCTTCTTTATTTGGGTCTTGTGAGACCCCACCTGGAGCACTGTGTCCAGTTCTGGAATCCCCAACATAAGAAGGACATGGAGCTTATGGAGAAAGTCCAGAAAAGGGCCATGAGGATGATCCAAGAGCTGGAGCAGCTCTGCTCTGGAGACAGGCTGGGAGAGTTGGGGTGTTCAGCCTGGAGAAGAGAAGGCTCCAGGGAGACCTTAGAGCAGCTTCCAGTGCCTGAAGGGGCTCCAGGAAAGCTGGGGAGGGACTTGGGATGAGGGCAGGGAGTGAGAAGACAAGAGGTGATGGATCAAAACTGGAAGAGGGGAGATTTAGGTGAGACATGAGGAGGAAATTCTTCACTATGAGGGTGGTGAGACCCTGGCCCAGGTTTCCCAGAGAAGCTGTGGCTGCCCCATCCTGGCAGTGTTGAAGGGCAGGTTGGATGGGGCTTGGAGCAGCCTGGGCTGGTGGGAGGTGTCCCTGCCCATGGCAGGGAGGTTGGAACTGGATGATCTTTAAGGTCCCTTCCAACTCAAACCATTTTAAGATTTTATGACAGTAATTTCTAAAAGCTGAAGGTTTGAAGGTGTTATTTTTCAGTGTGGTATTTGAATTTTTATTTAAATAATTAGTAGTAGCACCACTATTTTCCTTGATGTTTACCATCCAGAAATCTATAATAACTGAAAATAAAGTAATCATACTGCTAATTGATCACAAAACTAATAACTGAATGCAAGATAGGATTTTTTAAAAAACAATTACATGTGGTTACAGCATGTATTATTGGGAGGTATAAACACAGATTTTATCTGATCCTGCTAAGAAAAGCAATGGAATATTGGATTCATATGGTATCCACATTCTAAATGTGGATACTCTGTCAAATAAGAGAGTGTAGAAAATAGCAGCAGAAATTATTCAAAGTCACTAAGGAAAAAAGTCTTAGAAAGGTGTGACTCCAGCTGGTTTGCAGTCAAAAAGGATCTTGAGGGTTAACTTGACTGCAGTGTACAGAGGGCTTGGAAAGGAGAAAATACCTCAGGTAGGAGTGCTGCTGAGGCACGTGTTTCTGACAGAGGAGGTGATTACCAACTACAGAAATCTACTGAGTACACTACTGACCTCTGCATTTCCTAGATGCCTTGCTGGAAAATATGCTGATGACAAACAACAAAAAGCTACTGGGCTCAGAGTAGGTTTAAAGACTTGAAAAATAGAGAACACAGCAACAAATTCCTTAAAATCCTTTTCACTTTGTGTTCCTATAGTTCCCTGAAGTCTGCAGGACGTGTGTAGAGTGAATCTTTAAGTCAAAACATTCTGCAATGATTTCAAGATTTCATCCAGAGAACCATGCCATTGTGACACAAATTAGGCTGATGAGCATTTCATGGCAGTTTCCAGCTGAGCCTTCCTAGAACCACCCAGGTGGATACACTTTTCCTCCCACCATTTTCCCATCATTCCAGTTAAGACAAGTCAGGAAAAGAATTTGGAGCACAAGGATATGAAATAATTTGATTTTGCCTGAGAACTTTTAAGTAAAGCTTATTTCTGCCCTCATATTCTTACTCTAGAGTGTCTGAGACTGAGAAAAACACAACTTGACTCAGTGGTTGTTGATGCAGGTGGGGTTCAATGACTTTTAAGACTTTGATTACCAGCTTAAAACTGCAGCAGGGACAGAAGAGTTTGTGACAATCTACTAGATTTTGGCACAAACTGGAATTTGCTGTTTCCTCCAGATTGCAGGTGCAGTGGAGTCTCAAGGTGATGGTTGCAGAGATCCCTGCTGAGGTCACCCCCTCCTATGGTGGACTTCTAACAATGGCCAAAAATACATTTTTGCCTGAAATAAAGTTATTTCTGCACTAAATGTTGAAAACATCTTTTGGGATGAGTGCAGGGTCATGAAGAAAGAGAGAAGGTAGCCAGACAGGTGCTGGCTAACTCAGTCCTGGAACAGAGTTTCCTGCAGGATGTACCAAGACTGAATGTGCTTTTCATTCTGTACCTATAATGATACCTCTGGCTGCAGCTGTGGGAGGGGATTACACAGGTCAATATCAGCAGAACAGCTTCAGCAGTGAAGTGGGCATGTCCTGCAGCTTCTCTAGAGGCCTCCAGGTAGAGATGGTGAACAGGAATGAGTGCAACGAAGAGCTACAGAGAAGGAAAAGGGAATAGCTGGCTCTTGATGCTGTGTGTGTTTTGCCTGAACGTTTGATTGACACAGTTGTAGCTCAGACTACTTATTCAGCCAACATCACGTATGGAAGTCAGTGACAAATTATGGTTGACTGTGCTTGAAAGCTCCAGCAACGTTGAGTAGAGTGAGCAGGAGGATAGGGTTCCTATCCATTGCCATCAAAATATCATCTCTCAGTGCTGTTGACAGTTTAATAGCTACTTCTGTACTACTTCTGGAGAGCATTGTGAAGTACTGCCACTATATTATTAACCTAGGCTGGAACTTTCCTGCAAATGCAGAGGAAAAAACCACAAATGGAGATTCTGATATGGTTAAAGATTAAAAATGTGCTGTTCTCTCTAATTGCATGTCAGGATTTAATAACATTTTGACCCCCCAATTATGCTATCATCTATTTTTTAATTTTTTTTTCAGATCAAATTAGTTCTATCCCATTTTAAAGTTCCTGATGATGACGTTCAGCTGAATCAAACATTTTTAATTCCACGTGTTCCCTCTAGGCAGCTGAGATGGGATGTGGGTATGGGGGAGCTACACAGCCTCCTGTTGACTTGAGAGATACAGTGCTCAAGTGGTAAGAGCTCCATCCCTGTAATAAATCCCCACTGCTCCTAACAAAACACCTTTGTGCAAAGTTGCATCCTTGTATGTAATGACTTGAAATCTTTCCTAGAACACACCGAGTTGCAGGATGACCTTGAAATGGTTTGCACAGCCCCAGTCTGGCACAGATCAGAGGCAACACGTAAAACACCACACAGACTGAGCAGACTGTGCAGCTGGGGAGGGGCAAGGTGATCGTGTGACTACAGGAAAGATTTGGGATGCAGGAGACTGGAGTGTGACTGCCTATTGATACCTCTAAATTAGCTATCACTGTAGTGTCTGGTTTCTGTTAAGATACTGCAGAAAATCAGTGAGATGCATCTGGGAGGTTAGTGAATCAATTCCCTGCTCTGTCCACAGGCTGACCCTTCCCTGTTGGCTGCCTTTCAGAGTGTCACCTCAGTTATTTGGCTTTTCTTATTGTTGTTGTTCCTTGGCACCACTGGCAGGCCACGTGCTCCCTGCTGAGAGGCCTGTCTGTGGCTGCCACCTACCCCAGGTGCCACCCACCCAAGGTGGCCAAGCTGGTTTTAGGATGAAACACCAAATGGTGGCTCCTCTGGTACATGGCACCAGGAGGGACGGTGCTCCAGGACAACTGAGGACAAGAGCATTAAGCAGCCCTGGAGAGCTGTGGTAATGGGGTGGCAGACTTGCCAAAGCCAGGGTTAAGCATTCTGCTGTGACATTACTCCCCATCTGTTTTGTTGGTTGTTTCTTTTGAAGTACCAGAAAAACAAAGCATTACAAAGATGTCAAGCTGTGAAGAGAAAAGTCAAAAGCCAGAAAATTCAAAGGGAAATGCTGATTCTTTAACTCAAGTCATTAACTCGGAGGCATGCCTGAAGTTGGGCAGAAAGAAGCCTCAGCTGAACTCATGCTGGTTTGTGAAACGGGCTGAGGATTTGCACATCCTGGGGGGAAAAATTCATATATGGATGTAGGAGGGGAACTGGGACTGGCTGAGCTAAGAGGTTGGATGCCATTGGTGTGGGGAGACAGAGGGGCAACAAGGAGACAAATTTCCTGAGCAATTAGGTAGGGGAAGGGAGGTGAGAGGAAAGAAGCTCATGGGGAGACTGGCAGAAAATGAGAGATTAATGACACTGACAAATGAGAAGCTCAGGAGAGAAGGCACAGCCAGGGAAAGAGAGAAGTTCAGACAGGAAAGATATAGAATGATTGTAAAAAAAACCAACCCCAACATAGAGTGAGAAGAGCAAGTTGGAGAGGGATCTGGTATCAACCTGGCACAAAGATGGGGACTGGAGTGAAAATGGAAGGAGACAAGCCATCTCTGAGAGGGTGAGAAATGTATTTAGAACTGTGAGAGACTGAAGTAGGAAAATCAAGAGGGGAAAAAAAGCTCACATTTGGTGGCAGTGAGCAGGAGAAACAGGACATACTAGATTTGCTCCTCTTTGGTAGCCAAGGTGGAAGAGGATTCAAGTCTCCACTCCTCTCTCTGCCAAAGACATTTAGTGTATTGATCCTGCCAGCTGAGCCTCAGCCTTAAGTTCTGCTTATTATTTTAAAAAATCAAATTACACAAAAAGCAGAGAGATTAAAACAATCAT